AGAGAAGCTCGTGATCATGATGCCCATAATTACCTTCAGAATGTAAGCAGACTGAGGGAAACCCCATCACGGGGAAGAAAATATCACTGGGTACGTCACGGTTACGATTCGCGTACTTAAAGAAGGTTATTCCCCGAGAGGCATGGACAATATCACCGAAAATGTTAAACGATCGCTTTCAGAATACAAGAATAAAAACATGCATATTCCAAGAACAAAAAAAATAAAATTAATAAAAAAAAAAGTCCGTCCAGTTAAAGAGGCTTTAAAATTGTTGATGAAATATGCAAACATTGGTTGAATTGAAAGGTTTCGTATTCTTGGCACCACACAAGGTATTGAGCACTCGAATCTATCTAAAGGTTTGGAATAGCCGCTTTCTCGGATTTGTTTTTGTGATTGTCTCCGAACGGTAATCGTTTCTAAGGGCAACTTGCAGATACTGATTGAGTTCTGCGGTTACTTTAGCTGCAATTGTTTTTTTTAAAATAAAACCAACTTCTTTCAACAATCGCAAGCCAGTTTTCCCTTTTTTTGTACATTTATGCTTACCAGAAGTCGAACAGAGAAGAAATGTTTCCTTCTATGGGATATGATTGTTTCGATTCTGTAAAATACAAATTTACTCATAACGATAGCAGTACAGGTGCAACACTTAATTTTCCTTCACGAAAAATCAGCGAGAACGGACGTTCTTTCCGATACCAAAAAAACTGGGCGTCCAGAACTTTAACACATCTAAATATAGAAGAATGTTAAAAATGTGATAGTGCCAGTTGTGTTTCATTATTTAAAAACCTTTCACAGTCATCACGGGAACATAAATAGCTTTTTTTGAATCTAATGATAACCACCTGTACTTCAGGAAGAAAAGCTTACATCGGAGAAAAATGACTTTTAAATCACTTCCCTGCAGGAAATGTAATTCGGTGGAAAAGTTCGTTTTAAAGATATTGTAAAAGTTTATGATAAGAATTGTGGGACTGGTCGTTTATTAATAAAGCTAATATACGCAAAACAAGGGCTGTTGACGACGGACCTCGTAATTTGGAACCTCGGTCAAAACATTCCTGTCAAGCAAACACATGTCCGTCTCTGCAACTTCTAACATAACTCTATACATTCCAAAACGTCGGAATTTCAACAACAATTTTAAACCAATTTTTCCCCTTCAGTACTATAAATAAAAATTTTAAAAAGTTATAATTTTAAAGATTGCAAATTATGAAACATATTTGCTCACATTTGGTTCAAAATCTGATGAAACATGATACCTGATAAAAATTCAACCGTCTTCAATAGCGTTTTAGTGGTTCCAAGTTAAATTTATTATGATAAAAACTATTAAATAGAAGAATAATATTAATTCTAATGAATTAGACGGCTATCGCGTCATTTTTCAGTGTATATGAGGTGCAATCGTTTATTATGCTTGGCAATTTTTTTTCGATTTATGACAGGAAATAGGTTCATTTATTTATTTTAATTGATTTGGTATCTCAACTACAATTTGCTACATTTCAGCAAAATAGGAACTGATTGATCTAATTTAAAATATTATATTTTTTAATTAAATAGTTCTTTTGAATCAGCATCCGTAAAATACATAATTGTTAGAAAAGTTTTGATAAACTGCATAAGTGATGAGGGAAAATAATTTTTACTTGTGTTGCGAATACTTAATGTAATGGCGTGATATTAATAATTACAAGATATTTTTTTAATTCATCGAAAAATTTAAATATCAACAATCAGTGAGAATGGAAATCGAGAATGAGTATCTTAGCGTACAGTTTTACCAGAACTTGTTTAAAACTATCAAAGGGAAACAAATTCGAAATATAATATTTAAAAAAAAAATCCATCATATTATTAAGCAGTTTAATTTATGTTGGCATATTGTATGAAAACTGTATAAGGATACAAGAAACAAGAATTTGTGTAGTTAATTGTTTCTTAAAAAGAGAGAAAAGCCAAAATAAAAACTGGTCTCGAATAAATATATTCAATCGAATAATTTCTGAAAATAAAAATGACAAAGTGAGGGATATCATAAAGTCTTTATTATACTCCATTTAAATAACTAATATAATAAGAACAAACCCTATAAATATTCAATGAGTAAATAAACTGAAATTAACAAAAATTTCTACTTTGTTAATTGCAGTTTGTTAATTAATGAAACCGGTTGTTTCGTAAAGGAATGTGTTAGATTTTTCTAGTGTAGTAAGTGTTGATAAATAAAAAAAAATCCACTAAGCCTTAACATCATAAATCTGATCGAGAAGCTAATTTTTTAAAGTTAATTTAAGATCTGAATAATGAAAAAAACAATCTTTAAATTTTATTTTTCTCAATCTTAACAAAAAACATGGAATATTATCGGCCACATTTTCTTAGTCATACAAGTCCGAGACATCGCATAGTAGATAGAACTAGATTATAACAGGATAGATCGTCTACAAGTAGGATATTGGGAAATAAGATTGGATTCGAATTTTGCTTTTAAATCCCACACAGGTATATAATGTAGCTTATATTAAATACAATATGTAGGTCAAAAGAAAATTCAAATAACGTTAAAATAAAAAATGTTGAACGGTACTTTAATTTAAGTCTTATATTATTTAATAAAATTTAGAAGAAATATGATGAATATATAGCAAATTAATCCATTTAATATTAACTAAAACATTTAAACGCTTGCGTAAAATATCAATACATGTATAAAAAGATAAGTTGAAACTGATTTACCTTTTCATTCACCGAGTTCATTGCTCGATGGGAGTAAATATAACGCCCAAAGAAACGATGGAATTCTTAAGATATTTAATTCACACCATTACATCATAGCTATGTTTCTGAATCGGACTAAAACGCAGCAATCTGTACAGCAGAATTCGAACTGTGGAATAACAAATTTCAACAATTATTTCAACTCATTACAGTTACGGAGAAATTCGTTTATAAAATAGCAAACGATTTTATTCAAACGAAAATAATTAAAAAGCATTTATGAAAAAATGTAATTTTCCAAACGATATTTTGAGAAAGCCATAG